GACCAGCACAGAGAGCAGCATCAGCGCCAACTTGCTGCTCTTCGTGATGAGATAGCTGACAAGCAGCAGACCATCGAAGAACTGAAGGAGTAAGAGAATCATTCCTCTATTTCAGTAGTCAAGAAATCCTGCTTCTTATCCACTCATTTTTGACATTTCTATAATGAATTCCTCATGATTTTCTCTGTAGCATGAACCAGAAGTTGAACCTGTCTCAGGAGAAGCTGCTCATAGACTATGAACGTCTGAAGAAGATTGAAGAGGATAAGACCCAAAAACTCAGAGAACTAACGTCAGTCCCTCTCACCAAATATATTTTGTTTCTCCTTGACTCAATTTGCAAAAGACACGTCTTTACTCTGTGTAATCTCTAGATTGAAAGCTTGAATCTGGCCAGTTTTACTATTATGTCTTGACATTGCAAATGAGGTATGTTCTTGAATATATTAGTGCATGAAAAACTTTCATTATAGAATGCTGAGTGACAAGAGAGAGCAAGCCAAGCAGGACCTGAAGGGGCTTGAGGAAACTGTTGCCAAGGAGTTGCAGACCCTTCACAATCTGCGCAAGATGTTTGTTCAAGACCTTCAAAACCGGGTCAAGAAAGTGGGTGTGATTGATTTTCATCACCTAGGCAAGTTCAAGAATGGAGATTTTCTATGTCTGTCCTTCTGTCTCAGAGTGCAGCAGGAGAGGAAGTGGAGGAAGGAGGATCACTGGCTCAAAAACAGAAGATCAGCTTCTTGGAGAACAACCTCGATCAGCTGACCAAGGTCCACAAGCAACTGGTTCGTGACAATGCAGATCTACGCTGCGAATTGCCCAAGCTGGAAAAGAGGCTGAGGGCTACGATGGAGCGTGTGAAGGCTCTGGAAGGTGCGCTCAAGGAAGCCAAGGAGAGTGCTATGCGAGACCGCAAGCGATATCAGTTTGAGGTGGACCGCATCAAGGAAGCAGTGCGACAAAAGAATCTCGCCCGACGTGGTCATGCTGCCCAAATAGGTCCGTTTCTCCCCCTCAGATTGCTCATTTGCTTCAGCTACTTTCATCTCCAGTGTTGATTTATTTCTTCAATCTGGATTCTTGTTATATCCATCTGGCTTGTGGTTGTCAAGAAAAACAGAAGCAGGAAGTGGATCTATTTCACTGTACAGACCTTGCATTGTGCTTAAAGGCAAAATTTCATTATGTACCTAAGGAGAGAGAAGCAGACCAGTAAGCACAGCTGTAAACTTTTCATTTGTCCAAGAACGGCAGTAAGGATATACAGGATGGTGCAAAAGTAGGTGTACAGTTAGCTGTTACTTCCTTATTACTTACTTTTACTTTATAGTTATTAATTTTATTATCTTTTGTTTGTTACTTTTCCAGTACCTCTGTAACAGCCTTTTTTGTCACTCAAAAGTCAGGTTCCTTGGCATTATCCTCTACATCTTAATATAAAAATTAAATAAAATTTCTTCTGTATGCCTACTTTTGCCCCACCCTGTGCTTTTGGCTTTTTCTTTACCTAACCATAATTTTTTTTTTTTTCCATTGAACTCTGGTGGCCTTTCTCATATTTCTTTTCTGAGATATGGTGACCTTATCATTTGGATAAAATCTTGGGTATTTTTCCGGTCTGTTTGTGTTAACTGTTTCACTTCAATCCTTACCTTCATCCCATCAACTATCACCCATTGGAAAGTGGGTAGTGTTCAGTCAGGGTGGTTTTTGCACTAGCAAGGAGCAATATGGATGCATATTATCACACAAAGTATATGCCACTTTTTAGGCTCTTGTCCCAAACTATGATTTAACTAGATAACAGTGAAAAGCATGGAAACCAATTCTCCATTTAGTAACTGACAACATACCAAAGAGAAAGTCTTAAATGTGGTATAATTTCACAGGAGAAACCTGAAGTAATAACCTGAACTGCTTCTCCTCATTCTCAGAAAAAGAATTTCAGAAGCCGGAATTATTTATTTCATCTCCTGAGCATCACGGATGCTCATACTCTGCCAGAATAGAAATTAAATAGCCAGGAGATTGATGGGAGTGCTTTTTATAGATCTATACCTTGTGTTTGACTTTTGATTGTCAACTGATATATAGATGGGAGTGCTTTTTATAGATTTATACCTTGTGTTTGACTTTTGATTGTCAACTGATATATAGAACATGTCTTTCTGAATGACCTTCTTGTTGTCCTTTTTATTATGTTGTATACATGGTTTGATGGAATCCATGATGTTGTGGGGTTGCAGCCAAGCCAATTCGGGCAGGGCACCACCCGGCAATATCTGGAGGTTTCATGGGAGGAGTCGGAATGCCTCCTGGAATCCGAGGGGGTCAGCCCATCCGTCCCCTCTCTGAACTCGAGGTCCAGGCCTTGAAGGCACAGCAACAAAAGAAACTTCTCGCCTCCAGTTCTTCTTCTTCTTCCCTGAAGCGAGGTAAGCCTTTTATTCTCTTAAGCCAAGGTCTGTTGAAAGTTCAGCTTACCCTCCAACAAGGTTAATGGTTAAGAAGGCTTAGAAATGCTAGAACTTCCTGTTGTCGAAGTTAAAGGTTGTATAATTTTTTAAATGGTACACATTTATTTTAGAAATTCACTTTCTTTTCATTCATTTTAGAAATTTTTTCTCCCCAAATAAGTTCATGTAGTATTTGTTTTGCCTCATCACAATCTAGTGAGGCATGCTTTGATTNGACCAGCACAGAGAGCAGCATCAGCGCCAACTTGCTGCTCTTCGTGATGAGATAGCTGACAAGCAGCAGACCATCGAAGAACTGAAGGAGTAAGAGAATCATTCCTCTATTTCAGTAGTCAAGAAATTCTGCTTCTTATCCACTCATTTTTGACATTTCTATACTGAATTCCTCATGATTTTCTCTGTAGCATGAACCAGAAGTTGAACCTGTCTCAGGAGAAGCTGCTCATAGACTATGAACGTCTGAAGAAGATCGAAGAGGATAAGACCCAAAAACTCAGAGAACTAACGTCAGTCCCTCTCACCAAATATATTGTGTTTCTCCTTGACTTAATTTGCAAAAGACACATCTTTACTCTGTGTAATCTCTAGATTGAAAGCTTGAATCTGGTTTTACTATTGTATCTTGACATTCCAAATGAGGTGTATTCCTGAAAAAGTTTGTGTTTGAAAAACTTTAATTATAGAATGCTGAGTGACAAGAGAGAGCAAGCCAAGCAGGACCTGAAGGGGCTTGAGGAAACTGTTGCCAAGGAGTTGCAGACCCTTCACAATCTGCGCAAGATGTTTGTTCAAGACCTTCAAAACCGGGTCAAGAAAGTGGGTGTGATTGATTTTCATCACCTAGGCAAGTTCAAGAATGGAGATTTTCTATGTCTGTCCTTTCTTCTGTCTCAGAGTGCAGCAGGAGAGGAAGTGGAGGAAGGAGGATCACTGGCTCAAAAACAGAAGATCAGCTTCTTGGAGAACAACCTCGATCAGCTGACCAAGGTCCACAAGCAACTGGTTCGTGACAATGCAGATCTGCGCTGCGAATTGCCCAAGCTGGAAAAGAGGCTGAGGGCTACAATGGAGCGTGTGAAGGCTCTGGAAGGTGCACTCAAGGAAGCCAAGGAGAGTGCTATGCGGGACCGCAAGCGATATCAGTTTGAAGTGGACCGCATCAAGGAAGCAGTGCGACAAAAGAATCTCGCCCGACGTGGTCATGCTGCCCAAATAGGTCCGTTTCTCCCCCTCAGATTGCTCATTTTGCTTCAGCTACTTTCATCTCCAGCGTTGATTTATTTCTTAAATCTGGATTCTTGTGATATCCATCTGGCTTGTGGTTGTCAAGAAATTCAGAAACAGGAAGTGGATCTGTTTCATGGTACAGAACTCATGTTGGGCTCAAAGGCAAAATTTCATCATGTATCTAAGGAGAAACAGACCAGTAAGCACAGCTGCAAACTTTTCATTTGTACAAGAACGGCAGTAAGGATATACAGGATGGTGCAAAAGTAGGTGTACAGTTAGCTGTTACTTCCTTATTACTTACTATTACTTTTTAGTTATTAATTTTATTATCATTTGTTTGTTACTTTTCCAGTACCTCTGTAACAGCCATTTTTGTCACTCAAAAGTCAGGTTCCTTGCCATTATCCTCTACATCTTAATATAAAAATTAAATAAAATTTCTTCTGTACGCCTACTTTTGCCCCACCCTGTGCTTTTGGCTTTTTCTTTACCTAACCATAATCTCCTTTTTTTTTCCATTGAACTCTGGTGGCCTTTCTCATATTTCATTTCTGAGATATGGTGACCTTATCATTTGGATAAAAACTTGGGTTTTTTTCCAGTCTGTTTCTGTTAACTGTTTCACTTCAATCCTTACCTTCATGCCATCAACTATCACCCATTGGAAAGTGGGTAGTGTTCAGTCAGGGTGGTTTTTGCACTAGCAAGGAGCAATATGGATGCATTTTATCACACGAAGTCCATGCCACTTTTTAGGCTCTTGTCCCAAACTATGATTTAACTAGATAACTGTCAAAAGCATGGAAGCCAATTCTCCATTTAGTAACTGACAACATACCAAAGAGAAAGTCTTAAATGTGGTATAATTTCACAGGAGAAACCTGAAGTAATAACCTGAACTGCTTCTCATTCTCAGAAAAAGAATTTCATAAGCTGGAATTATTTATTTCATCTCCTGAGCATTATGGATGCTCATACTCTGCCAGAATAGAAATTAAATAGCCAGGAGATTGATGGGAGTGCTTTTTATAGATCTATACCTTGTGTTTGACTTTTGATTGTAAACTGATATATAGGACATGTCTTTCTGAATGACCTTCTTGTTGTCCTTTTTATTATGTTGTATACATGGTTTGATGGAATCCATGATGTTGTGGGGTTGCAGCCAAGCCAATTCGGGCAGGGCACCACCCGGCAATATCTGGAGGTTTCATGGGAGGAGTCGGAATGCCTCCTGGAATCCGAGGGGGTCAGCCCATCCGTCCCCTCTCCGAACTCGAGGTCCAGGCCTTGAAGGCACAGCAACAAAAGAAACTTCTCGCCTC